GGTTGCATCTACCGAATGAGCGAGGAAGAGTTAAGTGTGCTTCGCGCACAACTCGACGACCTTCTAGAGAAAGGCTGGATTCGGCCTAGCTCATCGCCATGCGGTGCTTCTGTTCTCTTCGTCCGGAAGAAGAGCAAGGACCTGCGGTTGTGCATCGATTACCGCAAGCTCAACGCGCAGACGATAAGGAACGCCGACCCTCTGCCACGCATCGACGACCTTCTCGAGCGATTGGGCGGCGCCCAGTTCTTCTCTAAGCTGGATCTCAAGTCAGGGTACCACCAACTCGAGATTCGCAAGGAGGATCGCTACAAGACCGCGTTCAAGGCACGGTATGGGCATTTCGAATGGCTGGTCATGCCGTTTGGCCTTACGAATGCCCCAACCACTTTCCAAGCAACTATGACAACGGAGTTCCAACACATGTTGGATCGGTTTGTACTCATCTACCTCGACGACATCTTGGTGTATAGTCGGAGTTTGGATGAGCATGTGGAACATCTGCGCACCGGTTTGGAGCGGCTACGACAAGCCAAGTACAAAGCAAACCGCGACAAGTGCGAGTTCGCACAGCAGGAGCTGTAGTACTTGGGACACTATGTGCCGCCGCAAGGCATCCGTCCGCTTGCGGACAAGATCGAGGCGCTACGAGTATGGCCCGAGCCCACCAACACCACGGACGTTCGTTCATTCATGGGGTTGGCGGGCTACTATCAGCGATTCATCACCGGATACTCCAGGATTGTCGCACCTATGACGAGGTTATAGTCGCCAAAGGTGCCATTCGTATTCGATGACGACGCACGCCGGTCATTCCAAGCACTTAAGACGGCTATGCTCATGGCACCCGTCCTTAGCATCTATGACCCCACCCTGCCGACGCGAGTGACTACGGACGCTTCCGGCTATGGCATTGGGGCAGTCTTGGAACACCACGACGGCGAGGACTGATACCCTGTGGAGTATTTCAGCCACAAAGTGCCTCCCATCAACTCGGTTGATGATGCAAGGAAGAAGGAGCTGCTCGCATTCGTGATGGCTCTCAAGCGCTGGCGGCACTTCCTCCTTGGGCGTCGTAGGTTCGCATGGGTCACAAACAACAATCCATTGACCTACTATAAGACGCAGGACACGGTGAGCAGCACGATCGGACGACGGATGTACTTCATCGACCAATTTGACTTCACACCGAAACATGTCCCCGGCCTCTCCAATGGCGCAGCAGATGCAGTCTCGCGAAGACCTGATCTTTGCGCTATGACACATCATGCCTTCGCATTCGACGAGGAGCTTCAGCGACACTTCATCCGGGCATATCAGTCTGAT